TCCCCGTGATGACTCGCAGCCACTCCCTGGGTTCACAGCCTGCACTCAGCTGCATCTCAGGTGGCAGGCAACAGATTGCAAAGTGAAATACCAGTGCCACAGACCAGAACAGCCTTTACCAGCAGGCATGCAAAAATATGATTTTACTGTCAGCCCGCTGAACAAGAGGACACATAAGGATGCAATTTCCTCAGCCTCTGGCTGGAGCAGTTAAAGGGAAGCCCTCACCCCTGTGCTGCAGTCTGCTCCTGCCACCCCTCCATCCCCTCCCGCTACGCCAGTGCAAGCGCTTGCCGGGCTGTGTTGTGGATTCAATTGCTGAAATGATCTGGGTTAAAAATAACCTTGTAAAGAGTTAAGGGGCATATTTTTAGCCCAGATCATTTCAGTGATCTGGTTTACAGCACAGCCCCACAAACTCACACTGGTGCAAGGGAGGGGGGAGGGGAGGAAGGAAAGGTCAAGGGAGAATGAGCAGTTGGAAACATAAGCTGTCTTTCTGCCAAAACCAGGACCTTACGAAACTGCACCCCGAAAGCACTGACCCTCTCTTGTTTTCATCTAGCATACTGACAACTGCCGCCTTGTGACGCAGCGTTGAGAGCTGGGTGCTGAGGATCACTATTTCTGGATCCTGTTTGTGTAATCAAGACACTAGCCCTGAGCCTCAGATGCCTTATTGTGTCTGCCTCTGGCACATTATATTTGTCATTATTTTTGCCATATTTGCTTTTGCTGAGGTAGATTGTATGTGCAGCAACCAAAAAACCCATGAGAGCCACAGGGAGATTTGCAGAGCTTGTGCGAGCGCGGGGTACGGGAAGGCAGCCGGCACGATGGACTGGTGTGAGAGTGGGCTGCAGGGAACTGCTCCTGCAAAACTCTTTAGAAGCAAGGGAGGGATGTGGAGGTTGGGGACTGGCCTCAAAGCCATGTCTAGATGCAGCTACGTGTGGATGGGGGTGGAAAGTGCACCGGACCAGTACCAAAAATTGTGTAACCGTCACTGATTTCATAGGGGCTGAATACTCCAGCCCTGCAAGGTGCTGTGGAGGGCTTGCATCTCAGATAAAAGGTGCTCTGTCTGGCCAAAATATCCTACCTGCAAAAGCAGACATGTCAGAGGATTCATAGGGGAGGGAAGGAGAGTAGGGCAGTACAAATCTCTGCTGTTATTCGGCTGGTATTTAAGCGCTGCATAAGCCAAAACACTCCACTGTATGGCAGCTCAAAGACCTTTGCTCTTTTCATCAGCCAAACCAGGTGCACAAATCCAAGCCTGAACTCCTCCTTCAGTATCTGCTTCTGACCCCCACTGGTACCCTTTCAGACTAGCATTTCCAGTAGCATATTATGGACAGTGACAAAACTGGTGGGATACCAATCCCGTGAGATGGAGTGATAGCTTTCAGTTGCAAGGGGGTGGGTCATGACCAAAACTGCTAGCTGAGGGCTGTTGGAGCCAGTTTTGCACCAGCACCAGCAGGACATTCAAATTCACCCCCAAAACCACCTCTGGCTTTCCAGTTTTCCCCAGGATTCTTTGCAATTTTGATTTCATAAGAAACTTGTTGTCTGCAGTGACACTCCCCACCTGTAGCTTAAATCCATGATCTTTAAGAAAAGGTCTTTGTGAGTACCCAGACGGGATGCACAGAGAAACTCTTCAATCTCTTTACCTCTTTTCTGTGGGCCTTTAATACGCACCTTCTCTCACCTGGTGCCCACGGTGGGTCCACGGGCTCTAGCAGAACTGGCAAACGTCCTTGAGCCAGGTAGTGACACTGCTGTCCTGAGGGGTCCCCCCGTGAGACATCATTACTCCCACATCAGGCAGCCTTACTAGCCCTCGCATTTTCTGGCACATTAAATCACCAGTGAAGTTGGGATTGTTCTTCTCCAGTGCTGCCAAAGGGACCAGGTTCAGTTTTAAAAGCAGATGAAGAAAGATGGTGTTGAAAACCATTTTCAAATTTACTCAATTTTATAAATTTATTTGGAAGAGGAAAGTGAAACCCCTTACAGAGAACTTGCTAGTTGCACTTCCTCTTCTGCAGACAGTGCCATGCTTACATTGATGGTATAATTCAATTCCTGTTTTGCTGCTCTGTCTGACATTTTTCAGAATATGCAATGCTTAGGCACTTACTTTTATGGAACGGTAAAAGACCTCAGAGTAGCAGTCACCAAATTACTGATGGAGTAAGTCTTTTACCTTAGCTTGCATGTTTTAGTCCATGCAGGCTGACTGTGCTTCTCTTCTGAAAAGGAAAAGAATCAGCAGATGGCTGCAAAGAGCACAAAATTAACATCTGAGTAATTTCACCTTTTTTGCCAAAAAAGAGCAGAGCTGCTCCTCTTTATCATTCATGAAAGTGGTGGGCTATGTCACCGAGACAGGAAAAATGACCAGGAATGGGAGAGGCTACATTAATATCATGGGGCAGGAGAGAGCCAGCACTGAGCTCTTGGGTGAGAGGAGCAGACGTGTGTCTTAGTTATGGAAGAGGCTGAGGGCTGGTACATGCTCTGGGGTGAAAGTGAGAAAGTGAGCCTTCCCACCTTCCTCCCAGCGGGAGGGAGACTGCCAGTCCAGCCCCTGGAAACCAAGGGGACAGTGTTCTCCTTGCAGTGCAAGGAAGGGAACTTCTTGCATCCGAGTGCTCTGGTATGGTGCTTTCCCTTGACTAGAAGACATAGAGCCTGGCACACCAGTTGGGAAAAAATAAAGCAGCTGTGGAAAAAGCTGGATACAGGATGGCGGTGTAATTGCCAGAAAGGATCTGAGAAAGGACTTTTCCTGTTGCAAGACACGTAGTGTAATCGGAGAGTCTGCAGCTGGCAGTTTCGGGAGGACACAGCCCGTGGGCTACTTGTGCTAATCTTAGAAAGGCATGTTCACTGCTTCCTGGGCCCTGGCTGGCGAGCTTCACGCCGGCAAGAGCTGCGTTGCAATCAATGCCTGCTACCAGCAAAACAAGAAACGCGTGGAATCATTCCAGCCCCACAGCTCTGATCAAATCCAAAGAAAGGGAGCTGTGTTTTCAGACTGTAACTCAACAAAAATTAAAAAAAAAAAAGGAAAGAAAAAACACACCCACCCCAAAACAAGAGGTCAAAGAAGCCAAGAGGAAGTGCAGTGTCTTTTCCAGGTAAAGGCAAAGGGCAGTGAAAGAAGCTTTTGGAGAAAAAGGGACTATGAGGGGGGCAACCCTTCCACCACAGACACTGAGCACCTGCAGCTCCTCAGCCTCGACTGAGTCCTCAGTTCAGGTGTCCGTTCTGCCATGCCCAGTTATCCTGGGAGCTGGCGTGCTGAGCCAAGCCTCCCAGTCCATCCCACCTTCCCCAGGTTCATTCTTTGCTCCCTCCTCTTTCCAGCCTGCCCTCCCTTCACGGCAGGGAGCCAGTCTGCCACTGGAAACTGCTCTCCCTCCCCACTTAGCCCAGCCATCATTTTTTGTGTGCAGCCGGTTGCCCTGCTGATCTGCTTACCTCACTGTTTCTTCCGTTCCCCTTATCTGCCACTTCCCCTGCCTGTAATTACTCTAATGAAGGCTGAAAAGATGAGGGGAAGGTGCTAGAAGTTCACTGAGAGGAGACAGCTTGATACGGCTTTTGTGGCTGGATGCAGGAAAGCTGGTCTGAAGTGTATGGAAAGTTTAACGGGGGAGATGTAGTCAGGATCCTGGAAACAGGGAATGGCAGATGTCTACTGGGGCTTGTGGGCCTGGAAGAAAGAAGATAGCATCTATTGGCAGTGTTTATTTACAGCTCTCTGAGGAAGGAAAGGCCCTTTTCCACAATGCAAACGGGCCTTAGCCATGCTGCTCTCTACCAGGTATTTCAGACCAGAGAGTGCTCCCAGCTGCAGATGATGAGGTGATCCTTAATGTAACCTCCTCAATTTGCTTTTAATCTAGAAACTCAGGGTCTAAAGGAATTCCTTCTTTAATATGATTTCAAGTTTCCACAGCTATTTCTCTAGCCCCTGTAGCATGGTGACCCAAAGGAAATGGTCCATACGTGGGCCAGATTGGTGTTTCAAGGGCCTTTCACCTCCAGCGATGCTGAAGGAGTGGCTGTGTTAACGAGACAGCAGGTCCCTCCCAGGCAGAGTGGCTGAAAGGGAGAAGGAAGGGCTCTGCTGGAGCCTTTGGAGAAACAGAAATTTATTCCTCCAGCAACAGCCATTGGGGAAACTTTCTGACTGAGAAGCAGAAGAGTATTGAGGCAGAGGGGTAAGAAGTGTGGTGTTGGCCATGCGTTCATGGTGGTGGTACAGGGAGCGGAGGTATGAGGTTCCTTGCTGATGGGTCATAGCCTGGTTTGTTGTTTTGAGGTCTCCACCTCTAACAAAACGAGGATTGTTGGTTAGTTATTCTCAGTTCCTCTGGTTCGGTTTTCCCTGGCATCAGATACTAGAGATGAAGAATAAAGGTTTCCTTTCATCAACTTTGATTTCAAGGCTTTCCACTCATGTTGCTTGATACACACATAGCAAAGCAAACAAGGTAAACGTGGGATGACAGCAGGGCTGTGTGCTGTGGGAAGAGCCGCGCCATCCCGTCTCCAGCAAGCCTCCCACTTCTCAGCCTGTGGTGGACCCAGGGGAGGTGAAGCTTCTCTCAGCCCTGGTATTTCCTCCCTCCCCCCACCCGCCTGAGTATTTCACTGCCAAAAAAGCAGAACGGCGCAGGGACATCCCCAAGCAGATGCTGGCTTGCTGCGAGGACAGGGAATGGCTTCTTGCAGCAGAACCACTGGAAAAGGAAGGGCACCGGTGACCAGGGCAGTACAAAAGGGATGGGAGGGCTGAGAAGGTGTACGGGAACGTCCTTTACCGCCCGGCTCCATCTGCTCACTGCGAGGAAAAGATGGGGAACAGACACTTGGCTTGAAATACTTAGTTTGCTTCCAGTGAAAAATACTAAGTGTAGGCTCTTCAGCTAGAGCTGAAAGGCTCTGCATGAATTACTGGTTTTCTGGGATAGTCGAAAATGCTGCTAGGTCCTGTCTTCCCAAACCTCTTGCCCTCAGACTGGATGATTGATGCCAGATGTAAGAAACTGCTGTAAGTCCCTGCTTACTCTTGAACATTATAACACATACACAAGCTTCTCTCTAGCCTGCTTGCTTTTCCCAGCCTTTGCTCATAGCTCGTTGTTCCCCATTTGTCAGAACAGGCCAGCGGAGACCAACTCAGAGGTGGACAAATCGGCATCACCCTCAGTGGCTCAGCTAGCAGGGAAATTCAAAGAGCAAGCAGCCAATATCACTGGAAAAGAGGTAAGGAGCTCTGCAGCCACCAGCAGGTAATCAAGTGGGTAATGAGGCACCCGCCTCTGCCTGTAGAAGTTACAGCATCAGTGATCTGAGCATGAACCCACCTTGATTTTGAGTCTTCACAATTCATTTGTCTCCTAGTACAATGCAAGCTATGACAGTATCTTCCATGCATTGCCAACTTGTGGACGAGTATTTTGGTAGAGCCATACTTTGGGACAACTCAACACTGTAACTGAGACGCTGTAAAGCTTGGCAGGGTACACATAGATACCTAACAGTAGCAGACAGCAATGCATGTACTATCTGGGCTGGCTTTTGTGGGCAGAGGGCAGCAATAAATAATGAAATAGCTAATATTGAGCCATAGAAAAAGAAAGCAAACAACAGATTACACAGTGTAGAAGCCAGTGGCAGGTCACCAGCACCTTGTTCACAAAAGGAGAAGGTTTTCTCCAGGTAATTCCTTCTGTATGGGTCTGAGAGAGAAAGCTGTCTCTTTACTTGCCCTCGTTACCTCTTCCCAATGACATTTCAGACTCTGTGCCTGTCTCTATCATGCTGAAACTTTATTTTATTGAAAGCCCACTATGCCAAGCTTTACCTCACAAGCTATCTTTCACCAGATCAGCAAAACACTAGGATACCTCTCTTAGGAAGAAAGGAAAGTCAGAGTGTTTATGGCTGGAGGTTGACATTTTGGGAGAGCCCCCTCTATCATTACGCACTTTTTTAGAAGCATAAATGTTTACTGGTGGCCCTCCTTAGTCAGTGGGTGCTCCTTTAAAACTGAACTGCTTTCTTCTGCTGCTCATCTGATTTCAGCATGTCCCAGGCTAGGCCTAAGGGGATCCTCCCCGTCACCCCTCCTGCCTTTGGCTGGATGCAATGGTGGCCACTGTCCTGCAGGGCTGGCAGGCCACCGTCTATCAGCGGTTAGCACTCCCATAGCCAGGCCCCAGGATGGGAACAGCCAATCTCTTCCCAAGCACTTTTTTTTTTCCCTCTAGTCACCAGCGCACCACTCCATCCATCCCATTACAGCCATTTCCTCTTTTTAAGGTATGGGATTTAATTGCACTAAGCCCCTCACCCTTCAGAAGGCAGCAAGTTCCCAGACCTCTCCTGTTATCTGCGGACCTCTGCGGCTCCCAAGCCAAGGCAGTGCGGAGGGGCCTCACAGTGTTGGGAAAATAATTTTCTCCAGAGACAGAGGAGGACGAAGTTTCCTGTCTTTTCTCTCCAAGCCATCTGTCACTTCCCCACCGGCTTTCTCAAGCTGGCTTCAGATTAATGGCTGAGTGGATGGTCTTTAACCCTTACTTGACCCATGCCAGCAAAGGGGAACCTATCAACCAGTGAACCTCTGATACATTCACTGTGGCACAGCGCAGTGTTTCATGGTTGCAAAACGGTGGGATTTCAATAAGACGTGATATTATTGCTTCCTAGCACGCCATAAGGATAGGGCAGGGCTGCCCATGGCTGCTTAGAGACGCAGCATTGCCATGCCTGAGTGCAGCATCACCAGAAGTTAAGTGACATCAAGTCTACGGGTCCTCCAAGACAGCCAGCTCTACAGAGGGCAAAGACGCTATAATCCAACTTTTCACATGCCTGCCTGTTAGAAGGTAACAAAATTATCCAAATATTATATTGTGGATATTATCCAGGATCCACAATATTATCTGAGTATTTTGTCTGTTAACACATAAAAAGTGTGTTAACAGCTTGGCAGGAGACTACAAACCTGGCATAAAAACAGAGACAGCTTGACTTCAAGACCAGAGCAATAGTTATGAAGGAGCAACTCCATAGGTGCTGTGCTGTGCATCTCTTCCTTCCTAGTGAGCACTCTCGTACTTCTGAGAGCCCAAGGACATTCAGAAGGAACCAGTGTCCCTGCTGTTAAGTTGCCTTGTTTCTTCTCCCCTGGAGAATCTGCTTCTTAGGCAAATTAAAGGTTACAGCTGAGGACTTGTCTCTGCGAGCTGCTCTTCTTCATTAGAGAGAAACGAATGGGGCTGTAGGGCATGTTGGAAAAGTCAGAATTCCCCTTTTTGCACCTAAAATATATCCGATGCAAAATAGGAAAATCACAAACCAGGTAGGCAGCTGAGACTCATTAAAAGGAAATCCTGGTAATAAGATGGGAAAGGGAACAATAACAAGTTATTCCAGTAGTGAGGGGGTTTCCAGCAAGATGCTTTGAAGAAATGGACTCAAGTTGTGCCAGGGGAGATTTAGATTAGGTATTAGGAAAAATTTCTTCACGGAGAGAGTGGTCAGGCATTGGAACAGGCTGCCCAGGGAAGTGGTGCAATCACAGTCCCTGGAAGCATTCAAAAAAACGTGTGGATGTGGTGCTTAGGGACATGGTTTAGAGGTGGACCTGGCAGCTGGGTTAACGCCTGGACTCGATGATCTCAGAGGTCCTTTCCAACCCTAACAATTCTATGATTCTATGATTCTAAGATGAAGCTTCTGGGAAGGCTTCCCCACCCTCCACAGCTTAGAAGAGTGTCCTTTGCACAAAGCCTGAAGTATTGTGGTTCATGCTGTGGAAAGAGATATAGACTACTTTTCCAACATAAGGATTGGGCTCAAGATGCTACAAGCACACCTAGCATGCTGGCCACATGCCCATATGCTAATATCTCGTGCTGCCTTTGGATGACTCCTTTAGGCAAGCTGAGCCCTGCCATCCAAGCTGGTCACTGAGAGAGCATGCCCTCTGCTGCCTGAGTTTCACTTCCTTTTTTAAAAAAAACTGATTTCCCTGCTGCTAAGTTGCTTGTTTTCTTCTCTTAGGTACCACCACATAAGCCAACTCGGAGGAAACCACCATGCTCCCTTCCATTGTTTTCCCACAAAACTGAGACAAGTGACAATGGTGAGCAAGTGAGTATCAATTTAACAGGGGGACGAGGTCTCTCCTCTCTGCAACCTGTTCTCTCCTGCGACACGAGCTTGGAGGTAGCAGAGAGGTCAGGCTGTGCAGCAAAAGACATCAGTCATGCAGCATCAAACCTTCCCCTGCTTACACACATAGTGACTCAGCGGCAGCTCCCACGTTTCCCACATGTAGCATGGATACACGTCCCATTTCTACTGCTTTTGGTTTTACCCTTAGAACACTGATGGATCCACCCAGTTACCACTTTTCAAGCATTTTAAAGCAGGAACCGCTGACATTTATTAGATTTAAACAGTGCTTAGCACAGGGAGCATCCATGCTGTTTGTTGCCTTCAAATGAACTCTAGAGGTTTGAGTATAATGGCATAATAGTTCTGCTCTTGAGATGTTTCCTTCTTCAGAAAAAAGAGAATAATTAATCCATAGTGAAGAGGGATTTTGTCAGCAATTACCCACGGAATATTGTCTTGAGGTGTCCTCCGTACAGCACCCTTGAATGAGCAGGTCCCAGTAAGCTGGCTGCTACTCACTAAAGTTTATGCTCAGGCCCTTTCCAGTCACTTCTGTCCTTCTGTATTTCAGGGTTTGAGGTCTACCCACCAAATTTCACATTGTCACCTGCTCTTAACAAGGGGGTGGTTCTTTGTCCTTCTTTTCTGACAGCTACAGGCTCCTGCTGCCTCCATGTCAAAGGAGCACAAGCTTTCAAATCTTAGATTCCTTCCTTTTCCTTTGGACCTGAAAAAAAGCAACGTGCCCCTTCTCAAAGCAATGCTTTCCCTTTCTCAAACTGTTTTCAGCCTTTCATAGCTCTACCTTTCCAGCCACTTAGGCCTTTCCTGCCCATACTAATTGGATACCCTTTAACTCTGTTAGTCACGTGGTGGCAGAAAGTCTTTCCCGTCACAAAAAGTTCACAACATTTACCAACATTGAGGCTTGTACCCTTTAAGAGGTAGAATTTTAATCTGTCTGGTCCTGAAATAATACTGGGGGAAAGTTCGTCATAGGTTAGATACCTTAGTGAAGGCCAAGCAGCAGGAGAGCCATTACACATCACCTAACTCAGGTACTTCAGCCAGAAAGCAGACAATCACCTTTTCTCCCAGAGGAAGAATACATGTATGTAGAGCCCTAGGATGGCTAGATAACAAAAGGGGACCAGGGTCAGGAAAGAAGAAAGCAAACTTTTGCGTGAAGACGCTATATGAGGCTTCATTTCCTCCCCTGCTAGCACTTTCTGCTTATCTCTTCCAAGTTTTCTGCCTTCATTGTATTTCATCTTTTTCACCTACTTTACCGTGACTTTTTCATGTTTCATTTTGTTTTGCAGAAGCGGTCTCCAAATGCTTGCCCCATTCCCAAGGTCAAAGTGAAAAGCTCCCCCATGATTGAAAAGCTGCAGGTAGGTCCTGGAAGAGCCCACATGGCTGCCCCAGCAAACTAAAACTGATGGGCATTTGTCATAGCTACTTCCCTTGTGGAGCAGCCACAGGGGAAAGGGATCCAGGAGCCAAGGGTGACAGCTAGGTAAGCAGGGCAGTCGCCTCACTGACAAGGGTGCAGTCCCACAATACACAAAGAAGAAAGGCAGAGCAGGTCTGGTAACGGTAACCAGCGTCAGAAACAGTCCAGCGATCCTCAGGCACGTCCACAGGCAGGTCAGTGCATGGGTCAGGATCATTTGGATCTGCACGGTACACAGCTGGGCATGGGCATGGCAGCAGCACAGCTCAGGTGCAGAGCAGGGGCAGGAGCCTCAGTTTAAATGCAGCTTGAGAGAGAAAGTGAGGGAAACTCTGGCTGAGATTTCTTCCAGCTCTTTCTTCGCAGCAGTCTACATCAAACTGAGTCACCTGCACCCTATCGGGGAGCTGGCCTTGAGCGCAGGCAGCTACAATCCTGGCAGCGGGGAGTGCGCTCCGGGCCCTGGCACTCCCCTGCACGTGCCGAGAACCTCTGCACTTCCCTCGCCTCCATTCCCCCAGTTACACACAAATGCACGCAGTGCTTCTTGCCCTTTTTGTACCTCTCCACGGCGCCTGATTCATGCCGCTGAGGGCAGCTCAGCACTCGATAGCCCATAGACGTAGTGCCCTGCCACTGCCAGCTGCCTCTCCTGGCAGCGCCTGCGACTCCAGAGCTCAATGCCTCCTGGCCGCCCTGACACAACGTAAGCCTATTCATAGCACTGTCCCTCTTCATGCACCCAAGGACATTTGCCTACGAAAGCTTCCTAGTGACAGGCCAGCGGGAAGTGTTTTGCCACAGTTCTTCACAAGCTTGCTTCTTTCCATGGTCTTCTCACTCCTCACGACTGCACAGATCATTCAGAAGACCTGCAGACCAGGCTTGAAAATGCGAGGTCTGCTTGGGCACACACAGGGATGGTTTAAATCTCGAAGTGATTGCTGGCTGCCTGTTCAGACTTTCTCCCGGCTCAGCCACTGTAGACTCTGTTGGCTTGGCTGGGCCACTGGAAAATCCCAAACGGCCTCAGGATGACAAAAGGACAAGTCCTGAGATCCAGCTGCTGGGGAAGGGCAAATGTCCAGTCATAACTTCTCTGCCCGGACTTGTTTGTTGACAGTGTCACCAGGAGAGACCCATAACCAGAAGGTATGTGGGTTGTGACAGCTGAGAGATGTGGCAGCTCCCGTGGCAAGAGCAAGGGTTCCTCCGTCTGGTTGCCGCATGCAGTACACGCCGGTGTCATGCACGCCCGTGATGGGGATTTTTCTTTGCAGGCCAATCTGGCTTTTGCTCCAGCTGCTCTGCTGCCGGGAGCATCTCCCAAAAGCCCTGGTCTGAAAGCCCTGGTTTCTCCGTTCAGCACCCCTCCCTCAACGCCCAGCAGCCCAGGGACTCAGTCCCAGCCCACTGAAGCAAATGAGACGCCGGTCAGCTTTGATCAACCCCCAGAAGGCACTCAGCTGCAATTCTATAATAAGGTAGGGTACGTAGTAGGATTTCTCCATCACAGCAGGATAAGGCTTGCTTATCACTTGGGGATGAAGAGGACACCATAGCCCTCAGTCCTGCCATAGCAGTGTGCATTTGTAGCCAAGGGAGGAGACCTATGCACCGGGTTCAAAACAGTCTTTCAGTATAGCTCTGTGGAGCCTCCTCTCTGCCTGCCTGCACATGGAGCTTCATGGCCCAGCAGCTCCAGCAGCCTTCCTGGCCGAATGGGTAAAGGGAAGGGGTGAGGTGGCAGGACTCAGTCACTCCAGCTCAGCAGTAACAGGGTGGCTGGTGGCTGGTGCCTGGGCAGGGAGCACTGCGAGGAGGTAGTGCCACGTGCCAGCAAACGTCAAAGGTGGCTGAGGTGCAGTTCAGGGAGCCACGTAGAGCACGACGGTTTGCCAGGTGTTCCACAGAGTGCCCAGCACTTAAATGGGGAGCTGTAACCCGCATTCACCATCATCAGCTGGAGTTTCGGAGCAGACTCCTTCCTCAACCACCAAACTGCCCAGAGTAGAAAAGGCTGAGACATCCAAAGTCAGTATCACCTGCATAATGAATGCAGCATCCTTGGGTTTAGAGTCTTAACCTGGACAAGAAGCCACAGTTTAAATTGGGACAATGATCTCCAGCACCAGCTTTACAGAAGGAAAAGAGGCATATATTAGGGAGCTGCTTGTCCTCGAAAGTAGTCTCTCAGGGGTAGGAGCCCTCATCTCCCTACCTCTCAGTAGCAGAGCAGGAAAAGTGAGGCCACCAGCATAGCAATCAAGTTTACCATGGTATTTTCCTCTGTTGTGCTTTCCTGCTTTGCAGTACCGCTCTCTTTGTCTGCTTTAATGTCTGCTTTTCCTGCCTCCAAGGTGCGGACGCGAGGATCGATAAAGCGCAGGCCTCCCTCCAGGAAGTTCCGAAGATCTCTGTCGGACTACGGAGATGGGGAAGATTTAGGGGTCAACATCTCCTCTCCAGAAAATGGTGCCAAGGAGGATGGGGATGAGGTGTTTGGGCCCAAGGGCAAGACAGAGGAGGCAGAAACAGGGAGCAAAGAGCAGAAGAAACAGACAGGGTCTGATGAGAAGCCCCAATCAAGGAGAGGATCCAGTAGATCAGAAGATGAAGAAAAAGGGGGAAAACAGGCAGAGGAAATGACTCCTTGCAAGAGTGAGGCAGGGGATACAAAGGAGGAGGAGGAAGTGTGTTGTGGTGCTCCAGGGGAGGAGAATGCTCCCCAGCCTCCCTCTGGAAACAAGGAGGAGAAGGTGTGCGAGGGCCCTCAGGGAGAAGAGCAGCAAGGCAGTGCCTGTGAACAGGAAAACGGGGACAAGGAGAAGGAAAAAGCTGAAGCTGAAGCAAAGGAGACCAGTGAGAGCACAGATGCACAGACAATGTCAGACACTGAAGAAACACCACTGGCAGCTGGACGCAGTGGGCTTAGGGACTGCCAGTGAGCCTTCAACACCAGCCACGCCGGACCAGGGCACAGCATAACCGTGATGGGTAAGATGGGTCAGCATGATGATGGCTCCTAAAATACCAGAGGCTTTTACTTATTAAGGAAAATGGCAACTGTGACAGAACACACCAACATTTTTGCTGCTCCCCACACCTCAAAAGTATCATATCTCAGGCCTGCAGAGGCTGCAAGGCAGGGTACTTGTAACACCACCCAGGAGGGCTGGTTGTTTTAGGGAGAGGATGGAGAAGCAGCAAAGCCGATTCTGGATTCAGTAAAACGGAGAGGCTCTATTCCCCAGGCATCCTGCTCAACTGCTGTTTTGAATGCAATTTGAGAGTACTTACAGTAAAAAGCACTTTTCCCCAGCAGTAACCATGTATTTGCTATCTCAGTATGCCTCCTTACACATACATATTTCTATGTATATGTGTGCACATGTTGTATATATATGTGTGTACATATATATTCTCTCTCTGTATATATGTGTTTAGCTTCTTAGCTTTGCCAGCAAAAATAGTGTTTGCACACATACCAGTTTCATGATCAGCCCTGGAAGCACGAAAACACGGGCCTCTGCCACTTGAAATAAAAGAGGATTGCCACTGGCTAAAGCGGGGCTTGTTCCATGTAGCTTGCGTATTCTCTAACCACTGATAACGTACCCGCAGATGCCTGAGGAAATATCTCATTCCACCTCAACCACCTGTCCCCTCTTCAAATGCCTCCTTTGTTTGGCAAGGAGCAACTGAAGGAAGCAGGCTGGTGCTCAGGCTGCAGCTCGCCTTTGCCTCCTAGCACAGAAACTACCAAAGTACGCCCAGGGCACAGCCTCCCCAGCACTGTATTTAATTAGACCCATGATTATTTTTCATAATTTCCTTACTTTTCCCCTCTCAAAAGGACATACCCAGTCAGGGCACAGGAGACTAACATGTGAAGAGGAGCCATCTAACCCAATCAAGGTGGAAGCTACTGGAAAACCTTCAGTGGCAGGAGAGGAGCAGAATACAGATATCCCCCGAGGTCCAGACTCATCCCGGAGCTGAATGGCTGTGTGCTGGCTCTCTGCTTTGCACCAGCATATTTTGGGACAATCAGAACAAGAGACTGGCTTGCAATCACTTCGGAGTTCAAAACGGAGGTGTTGGCTGACATTCCTCAGTGATATTCGGGGACTGAGAGACCTGATACGTGCTGTCCTGCAGCCGACAGCCACCACTACTCCTGGTCCCTCTGCTCCTTCATCCTGCTCCAAAATGGCTTTTTCTTCTCCCCTGCATTGGTCTTAGATGAAGTTCATCAGTTACATACATACATGTATGGTGCCTTTTTGGTAGCTTCTTTTGAAATATTTTGGGGTTTCAAATTTCAGTAATAATGTTTTAACAGTAGGAAAAAATACGTTTTCTCCACATATGCTATATGGCAGACAACGTGAACCCTGAACACAGGGAAAACTCTTAGGACATTGTTCATAAAGCATAAAATCCCTTTCAAGTGGGGGCTGAGCTGGCTGATCTGTGAAACAGCCAGCCATGGTAGGCAATGTTTCTGTGTGCTTCAACTTTGGGGTGTTTTTAGTGCTGGTGGAAAGTAACAACCAACAGAAAAGATGCGCTGCGTAGGTCAACAGGGCAAGTTTTCTTATCCGGCTCCAGATTTAGAAGGGTCGCCTGTCCGTCAGTCTTTCTCACTTCCAGACCCTACCCAGTCTGTTGGTTCTGTTTTGAAACTTTCAGTGTGTGGCCACTGAGTGCCACTCGTGATAGAAAGCATCCCGGCTTACTGGAAACAGCTGATTAATGTAGGTCAAAGAAGAGGTCTTAGATGGCTGAATTTCCAGTTGTATGGCCTGACTGAATATGAATTGGTGAAGGTCAGATAGCCAGTCCTTCCTAAGTACTTAGGCATTGTACTAGATTTGCATTCACTTTTGGGGTACCAGTTAAATCGAGGGTCTAGCAGTTGCTAAGCCAAAAAAAGCTTTTACATCTGGAGAGTTTTTGTTGCCCATAAGAAATAAGTTATTTGGGGAAAGACAGGTAACAGACCCTCACGTGACCAGTTTCCTGACAGTAGTGCTTGAAGCTGTATCTGCAATACTGAATAAAAAGCTGCTGTGCCTCAAGGCCATGGGGCTCATGTCCACAGCATGATGTGGAGCTGTGGACAAGTCTGGGCTCGCTGGAGACGACAGCAAGCCAGACTTCTCCAAAACTGAGCCAAGCAGCCAGCTAGCTGTTGGGCAGTGTGAACGGCCAGGGCCAGTGCTTGACCCTGCCGCCAGCCACCTAGTACCCAGCAACACAGACGCAGCTACGGAGACCAAGGGCAGAACCAGCCGGCTCCATCACAAAGCTCCTCCTAGCAAACATTAAGCTGAGCAGAGCCGGAGGCTTGGGTTGTCCCTGTCTCTCTAGACAGGCACAAGCATTTGACACAACACAGCCCACATCTGTCCTTGAGTGGGCTCTGCAACACAGCAGCATTACAAACCTGGCGGTTTTGAGAGATATCCCCTTTCTGTTCACCAGCTCTAAAATCATGAGGAAAGAAGTGGCCCTGTGCCCTGCCTTTCTTTTTCCCAGGTGAGAGCACTGAGGTGCCATTTGCCGAGAGCCAGCGGCGTTGACCCTTCTGCGTAGCACGGGCTTGTTGGCCAACACGACCCCCACGTCCTTTTGAGCCATGTTGTGGAGCATTGTTGCCTTTGAATCCATTTTAATCTGTTTGTTAGAGCTTGTATTCCAGGGCAGGCTGCAATCGTTCGCTGTACCGTGTTTCTTCTCTCAGCAGTGTCCCATCTGGATGTGAATGATTGTGCCTTACTGTATATGTAGATATATGTGTGCCTGTTTAGAGAATGAGTATGTGTGTCCCGAGCAAGGGAATGGAAATCCGAGGGAGAAACAGAAGAAATAAATCGTGGAATAAAACCAAACCAAATGAAAATCCGTGTGTTTCCTCCTGGGGAGATGAAGCAGGCTGAGGAAGGATGGAGAGCTGGCAGCAGCAGGCAAAATAGGGGTGGGATTTCCACTGCCACTGGAACAGTTTAACATTCAATTTTAATGTAATTTGTGGTATTTTTTACTTTTGGGGAACAGCAATAACCCATGTGCTTAATCCACAAAGGAAGGGGTTCTTTGGGACAAGCGGTGACACTGGAGACTGCCACACTCCCTGCCCCGGCCCTGCGGGTATCAGGTATCTCGGAAGAGAAGCAAGCAAAGCCATCCAGCCTAGTGCCATTTCTCCAACAGCATCCTCGCTCAGGGGAAGCAGACAAAAAACAAGGCAACACACACTGACCCTTCCTGTGAGATTTCTCAGCTTCTGGCAACCAACAGTTTAGAGACTTTCTGTGCCGGAAGCTGCATTGCCATCTTCGTCCCTGATGGCTTTACAAGTTCCAGGAAAAAAAGATGCCTGTTTCTCAGCTGAAGGCATCCACATGTCTCTCTCAGGGCGATGCTCGCTCAGGCGGCACGCAAACCTTGCCCCATCTGCAGGCCAACTGAGAGCAATTTTAATAAAGGCTCTTTGGCCACTATTAGCATCGTGACACCGCAAAAGCAGAGGATGCACGTGGGCCTGTATCCCTGCCCCATCCATACTATCAGGAAGCGTTGGCTTGGGCAGCGTGGTCTTGTATCCACAAGGTGTAGAGAGTTAAAAAGTTTTGACTGAAATGTAGAGCACAGCTTGGCCTGGTGCATAGGGTAGGGGTGCCTATTCAGACCCATACATATCTGTCAAATCCCTGAGGCAGGAGTGTATAATGTCAGGTGTCAGGACACTGACGGTCGAACAGGAAAATGCCCTCAGCAAGAAAAATCTGATATAATTTATCAATTCCCCTGGTGTGGATGGTGCCTGAAAGATTAAAAAAAAAAAAGCACAAACCTTACAGGGGGGGGAGGACGGAAAACAGAGCAAGAATAAAGGTAAAGTGGAGAAAGGAATGCAACACAAGACCAAGGAGACTGTTGCAGTTGTGTTTGGCCGGGATCTTGTTGTTTTTACGGTTATTTTTTGATTGGACTGTGTTTAAACTGTAGTGTGAGCCCCAAGAAAGTGTTGAATGGGTAAGGACGGAGAGCAGTTACTGATGGGAGGAATAGGGTTTCTTGAAAGAACGGCTGGACTCGATGATCTTAAGGGTCCTTGCCAACCTTAACGGTTCTATGAAAGATCTGGGGTGCAAGCGAGGCTGGTACAGAGGCGTGGGAACAGGAGGAGGAAGGGGGAGGGGGGCAGGAGGCGGTG